ATTTACATTATTGATAAAGTACATTGTGGTGGTATTTGTTGTAATTAATACTAAAACTATTAGTATAAATACTTAAAAAAAAAAAAAAATACTTTTTCATTTTGTAATTCTAAATTATTTTCATTAATATATTAACATGCATTTTTATTTGCATTACAGTAATGAAAATTTGGAGGTAATTGTGGTGGTAATACCATTTTTAATTTATTATTCATAAATTTTCATTTATTTTGTTGTTTTGATCTTTTTTAGTCATGGCTTCCTTCATGAAGGTTTCATGTGTTTTTATGCACTATTCTTCTGTTTTAATAACAGTTGATGCTGCCGTTCTGGAAATCATTTATGACTACAGATCTGATTTATTGTCTTCGAGAGGTTGTTAAAAACAGGTTCATGCTGACTTGACATTGAAAACCATGTTAAGTGTCCCTGTGTCCTCTGAGCAGCGCACTCTAAAATCATCTGATTAATGACTTATTTATCATGGCCGTTTCTCATTTCTTTAACAGGTGCCGTGTGATTTAGAGGAGAAAAGCACACGACTTTCCTGTATGATGTGCATCGGTCAGAGACGCTGTGTGGTGAGTAGTGAAGGCTTTTGTATCAGTGATTTAATGTTGAAGATTATTATGATTATGAATCAAACTGAGCAAGTAGTTGAATTTATTTTTTGCGCAGATCTTGTCCACACAGTTTAAGTTGTATTAAACCTGGAACATTCCTTTAATATGTTCTGGATGTGATTCGTCACTGGTGGTTCTGTGCTCCTTTATGAAGATGATGGATGGGATTCTTTGAGGATGATGTTGTGGCTGAGATCTCACGCTGGGATCCCTGCTGTGTGACGGTCTCAGAGGAGCCTGCTCCTTTGCCTCTTACATCCAGACAACTTAATTGACGCAAATCAGGATGTAGATGGAGATTACAGGGAAAACCCAAGTTGCTTGTGTGTGGAAAAGCGTGAGATCTGCGATGTCAGCAGCGCATCGGATTCGGAAAATTAGTTTGTCACTACCAAATTAGAAATTCTAATACAATGTTAATGCATATTTTCACAGTGTGAGTAATTTCATATTGTGGTAGTGGAGTTTTAGCTATTTATTTATGGAAATACAATGAATCAGTAGTTTATGTATTAACCACAGAGGACCCTAATTTGCGTAATCCAGTGGATGATATACTTTGCAAATAGGGAGTGTTTATTCTCATTGGGAAAAGGATGATATGTGCATGTGACGACATTTCTGTAAAATGATATTAGGTTGCATTTTTGCATGTTTCGAGAGACAAATGTCCATTGAGTGGTGTTCAAAATGCGTTCAGTTTTATTCAACATAGATAAGTGTTAGGGATGCACCGATACCACTTTTCCCAGTACTCGCCCGATACCAATACTTTTATTTTTGGTACTTGCCGATACCGAGTACCGATACCGATATTTTTATTGCATTTGTACATTTTTTAAATAATTGGGTACAGAAACCAAAAGAGATGTATAATGTTAGTTGGTTAACGTCTGTTGTTTTGTTGTCGGTGTTTCTTTGTTTGAATATGGCGCTTATCACATGCTGTGTGGTATCAGCGTTTGGTATCGGGGCATTTTAACGAGTACGAGTACAGGAGACCAGTATCGGGCCCGATACCGATACCAGTATCGGTATCGGTGCATCCCTAATAAGTGTGCATCTGGCGATGTTTTATTATGTTGGTTGTTGTACATATACTGGCAGTTTGACTTTAAATGCTATTTTGCATTTGAAAATAATGTACCAGCTACACTAAACCTAATCGATAGTGCTAACAAAAGAAGCATGAGATAAAAATGCATTTGCTGAAGCAACCATGCTGTTTTATCTTGCTTCTTCTAAGTTTTTGATCTATTTGATCATGAAACATGTTTTATTTCAGCGCTTCGCATTGCAAAAGCAAAGTTGCTGTACCAGGTGAGCTACTGAGCAAGTTTACTTGGTCAAAAAAGCCAAACATATGGAGTTGGTTATGTGATGCAAATATATTCATTTACAAATCATGCACTATGATAAAAGCATTTTGAGGTCAAAACATAGTATTGTGCATGAAAATAAGCCATTATTAATCAATAATCTGCCCCTGAAATCATAATTTGTGTGAAAAAGAATAAACGTTGTTGGTGTTTTAATGACACTAGAGTTAATTTCAGCTGGAAACTGCAGTGAATTGGATCTATAGGCATGAATTTTGCAAAAATGTAGGGTAACACTTTAGTATACGGACCAAATCTCACTATTAACTAGTTGCTTATTAGTAGTGATCGACCGATATTGATATTTTATAACCGATACCAATTATTTGTGCCCATTCATGGCTGCATATTATTTAATACACGCAAAGTTACGTCTTTATTGGGACAGGACTTGACGGATTATTTTACGTGACTCCGTGAGTTCGTCTCTATTTCTTCGAGCCAAGCTGCATAAACTGCATATCAGGCATTTATGTAATACATCTAATTTGTGCATTAATGGCTATGTTAAATAAAGTTTGCTAACTACAGTAAATCAAGTACCCGTGCACGCCATTGTTGTTGTTTTGCTTCCCCTCAGATGCGCGGCAATGGTGATCCTGCGCGCAATTCTCAAAACATCCACAAGATGGTGGCGTTTATCGGTGAATCCGATATTACAAAACCGATATCTGATTATTGTAAAATGCTTAAATATCGGGGAAAATATCGGGAAATTGATATATCGGTCGATCTCTACTTATTAGAATGCCTATTATTCAACTATTGGCTGTTTATTAGAACTTAAAAAGCACATATTCTGCATGATCATATTTTACATCCCTAATCCTACCCAATACCTAATCTTAACAACTACCTTACTAACTTTTAATAAGCAGCAAATTAGGAGTTTATTCAGGCAAAATTCATAGTTAATGGCTTGGTAATAGTGAGAATTGGACCTTAAAATAAAGTGTGACCAAATGTTGGTGTATTCACATTTTTCCAATGAACTTCTCTCAATTTATATCTGAGCGTTTTTGAGATTTGAACCCAGGGTCTTTGAGTTACCAGGCCAAGGTTATGAATCACTGTGCTAAAAACACTCCATTCATATGCTAATTATGATACTATCTCAAATTAATTTGGTGTTCATGGTAAAATTAATTAATATTGATATCCAGTTTCTATTTGATGGCTTTTCTATTATGAGGGTTTTTACATCACCTAGGTTGTTGATCCACAATCAAACCTATTTTTACTCAAATCTTTACTCAAATCTCTTTCATGCAATCATTTCAATGGATTTGTTGAGAACTGGGTTTGACTATCTAATGTCTTTATCAGTATTCAATGGCCGTTTCATGTTGTCTCAATTTTTAAAGAGCTTGTACGTTGATTGAGGTTTAACAATCTCCTGTTTAACCTCCAGTAACCTCGTTCATCTCCCGAGATGGCCAGTATTTTTTGATATGCTAAAATCACACCTGCGTGCAAGCTGTTCTTTCACATTCAGAAAATACGAATCACCATGAAGTGGATGTTTCTTTCAGATTAGAGGGGTTCAATCCAGTTCATGGAAATCTTTCCCGCGGAGTTTCAGGCCTCCAAAAAATCCGCCTGTAATTTTCAAGCGAACCTGCGGAGCTTGATTATCTGATTCTGCGGTTTCATTGGAATTGAAAATGAACTCTGAAAAGAACATGATGCTCCCTTAAAGTCGATGCGTAATTATTGTATTTGCAAATTAAACGGCTCCACTAAGTAAAGCAGTCATTTATATATTAGATAATACATTATTATGCTCATAGAAGTTTTATTTTGTTTCAGAATTGGTAAAAATAAGCTATTTTACAAGGCAGCAAAAGGTTACGTGTATGGCTGTCAAAATGACTGAAAAACTAAATTCGAATTTTCTACTTAAATATTATCAAAATTCGAATTCTATTCAAATTTAAAAGGCATAATTTCAGTAAGGGGGAAAAAAGCTTTTGGCTTCTCTCCTGAGGCCACAAGAGGGCGCATTGAGCAAAATATTATGCACGTTTCTTCAAAGCGTAATAAAATAACACTACTATCTTTGGAAAAAAAAAGACATCTTTAGACATGTTTTTTAAAAGTTGAACTTGCATTAATTTTACATGGCTTTCTAAACATGCCGCTCTCTGCGAGACGCGAGTGCAATGCTGATAGATGTCCCTCTAGAAAATGTGATAAATATGCATTCTGTGTGAACAGCTTGGTTTCAGTTTTGACGTAAACAACATCTTCTCCACACTGATGCTCTCGTTTACCGCAATATATGAATGAACAATGTAGCAGTGCCGCATCTAGTGGGTTCAACTGGATAGGCTAACAAAAGCATTCAAATGCAATCAATGACACATACATCGTCATCGCGTCTCGTGCGCCACTGATAAGGCTGCCTGACAGCTAACGCAGACCTTAAATTCGAATGCAACGTTTTTGCATTGGAATGTGGATTTTTTATTTTTTATTTTTTTTAATTCGACGAATATTCTAAATTCGAATTTTATTTTGACAGCCCTAGTTACGTGTGCATGTAACTTACCGTATTGTCCCGAATATAAGACGACCGTGTTTTTTCAGATGTATTTCCAAGAAAAAAATATCGTCTTATATTCGGGACAATACGGTACTTGCCCTGCTGAAAAATGGCTTAAACCAGTTTAAAGTGATCATCTAGTCTCCCAGACTGGCCAAACCGGACTGTTTTGCTGGATTTTGATGGGTTTAGACCAGCTAAACATTATTTTCTCTCAGAAAACAAACATAGTAAGGACACGTTTTCTCAAAGAGTTTATACGTGGGTTTCCATCCATTCTAGGTCAGTATCTCTCAGATGCTTGTCTATTATAGTATATGTAATCAGTGTGAATAAAGGAACATATTTGCACCCTGTTCACTTTAAGGAGCTGCCGGCTAAAGGTTAATTGCTTTTGCTAATGTTATTGAAGCACCCTTCTAGAACTGGGTCGTGTGCGCTCCTTACAAGATGGCCTTTGTGGAAAGAGTTACTAACTTTATTCCTCAGAAGATTGAATAGAAAGTACCTCGCTCAAGGTGCTGTTTCCTGTGGATTCACTGTTGTTAAAGGTGACCTATTATGCCCCTTTTTACAAGATGTAAAATAAGTCTCTGATGTCCCCAGAGTGTGTATGTGAAGTTTTAGCTCAAAATACCCTACAGATAATTTTTTATAGCTTGTTGAAATTGCCGTTTTTAGGGTATGAGCCAAAACGCGCTGTTTTTTGTGTTTGTCCCTTTAAATGAAAACGAGCTGGTGTGCCCGCCTCCCCTTTCAGAAGAGGGTGGAGTTTCTAGAGCTCCCGCACCGTGCATGCCAGCAATAACAAAACACTCTCTCACGCACTGAAAATCAGTCAGAAACTGCTAATAGCGGTGTTCAGCCATATATGTTTGAATCGGTGTCGTGCCGAATTCTGCACCCTGCCAGATTATTAATGAATTACACAGACGGGGAGCATGGCGCTATAAAAATAACAACATAGCTGGTCTCATGGTGACATTGCGTGCTAACATAAACTTTATAAGTCCCGAATATGATTATGAGCTAGA